GCTCATTTCCTTGCACTTGACGATGTGTCGTACAGATATTCTGTTTGATAACGTCTTGTTCTAATAGGACAGCCTTCCCCAAGGTGATGCCCCTTCCCTCAAAAAAACCACAAGGCTACACCTCCCACTGACCCTAGTCAACATGACCAATCATCAATAGCGATGGGAGTTGTGGTCCAAAACATTTTCAGGGTACCAGCTGGGGGAACGGTTGCTATGGAATAAAAACAAGGAAATCATATGTCTGTTTTAAGAAAAGTCATTATGATTGCATAAGACAGGGGTGGGGAACCTTCAACCCATGGGCTTAATTAGACCCACCAGGCCTCCCCGTTTGGTCCATGAGGCATCATATATGATGTCAGGTGTACAGCAGGAAAAGATGGGGCTCAAACAAAAGGGGCTTTACAGGCAATACTGATCAGCTGAGCAGTGCTACTTGCAAAGCCCCCAAGTCTCCGATCCACAACAACGTGTTTCCCTACACTTAGTTTTATAAAAGTTTTGAATTCTTTGTAATTGGAAGGGCACATGTAAGGGCACATACTACCTGTAGGCTTGCCAACTTGTACAGAATATGTCAACTTCATTAATTTGAATCATTTGGCAATCGTGCGTGCTGGGGAAAAAGCTAGTGCATGTTACGAAGAAGCTGATGGGAAATTTTCCTGAGATATGTAATTTTGCCTCAGATGAATGGCCCCCAAAGCTAACATTTCCTAATGTTGAGCACATAATGTATCTGTGACATAGCACTTTTCTTTTTGTTCAGACTCTGAACATATATGTCACAGTGGTGAACAATCTATTTTCAAGATAATCAGTGTTACTCGATGAAATGGTCACCTCTGAATGCCAAGCTAATACACCAGGCAATACAAGAGCAGCTTTTCATCAAATTTGCACTCCGTTAGCTAATGTGGAGAAATACTTTTTCCTGTACTTATGTCAAACTTGCTTCTCCCTCATTTCCCCATTACCAATAATTTCCTGTTGTTCTAATCATTATGCCTTTATCCCATACACCCAGTATCCTCCTATTTAGAGGTAAGCAAAGATTAAAGGACTCAGAATAAGAAGTGACAGAATATTAAAGGCAGCTGCCTGTCTTTGAATGTACTGGAGACAATGTTCTCTATTGAAAGGATGTAAATGGACTTCCTCTTAGAGCGCTAAATAAAGTTTCAGGAGGAGGGGGTGGGAACCCAAATTACAATGGATGGGCCAAATAATAGAAAATTGCTTCTAAATTGTACCAGGAAGCAAGCAGTTATATTGGTAGATTATGATGAAAAGCACACAGTGAGTTGCACTAGGGACAGCTTTATTATTGATATGCCAGACTCTTTGTTGGATGCCCAGTAGTTATCAAAGCGATTGACACCTCTTCTTTTGAAATACATCAAGCTCAGATCAAGGACATCTCAACCCACCATTCTCTTGTCAACAGGGGCTGGTGGAAAGCTCACAAGTAAGTTATAAGGGAAACAGTCTGCTCTGTTTCTTTCTACCCTCCAAACATGGATAAGAGACACTGGCCGGCCCATTCTCCATGAATTTGTCTAATATTATTTTTTCCCAAAAACTGTCTAGTGGTTATCACCACAAGTTTGGGCAATGACTAATGAGTCCCATATTCATTACATTATGCTGAACTTTCTCTCTGGTTAATTGGGTGATCCCCAAAGGCAGTTATGAATCTGCTAAATCTTTTTATTTCTCTCTCTGTGTGTCTTTAGGAGGTTTACTTATGGATCGACTCTGGGATGCACACGAAAGCTCATACCAAGAACAAACTTAGTTGGTCTCTAAGGTGCTACTGGACAAATATATACCGGTGTGTGTATGTATGTATGTATGTATGTGTGTATCACTGTGTGAAATATTTCTAGGTAGTTTTAGGTAATAAAGCACATACAGACGGCATCAATTTCCTTTGCCTGTTGTTGTTGCTATTAGTTTATTAATTGCTTTTACACAATCATCTCAAGGCAATGTATAATAAAACAGCAAAAAAAGTCAAACACACACATAAGATACATTTAAACAAAACTAAAATAATACAAAATAGACACTCATAGCAAAGACTCGTTTATCCAGCTAGGGTAACTCATCCAGCTTCATAACACATCAGTTAGTTTGGAATTTCACTAAGTAAAATGTACTTTTTTTAAAAAAAAGTGCTTTTGTAATACTGATGTTTACAACACAATCTTAATTTCTTGGTTCCCCTGCACCTTTTGAACATTTGCAATGTTTGTTTGAGCCAGCCTCTTACCATGTGCACTTGGAAACAGAAGTCCATAAACAGTTGCTGGTTGTGAGCAGAACAATAGATTTAGGTTACCAGATATTTTTTTTCCAATGAATCCGGGGACACTTTTCAAGTTCAGTAGGAATGGTAGGATTTTGTCAGGGGACTGATTTGTAAATCCGGGGACCGTCCCCAGAAACGGGGACGTCTGGTAACCTTACTATAGATGCCATGCAGCAAGGATGCTGCAGGGAACAATGAGCTGCTTATGGGACACTGTAGGAACAGAATAATGGTCAAGGTAGCCCTTCAGTCTGGTGCAACAGACTGATGGCATCCCTGTGTTGAGTTCTCTAACATATAGAATTGCTGACCTCATGTCCTGAACATCACATTGTTTTGGGTGTGCAGGTGCAGGGCTGTAGGTAAATTTGCAAACATTCAAATGCCCACCGAGTGGCCTATACATCAGGTGAGGCTGCTGGTCACATGATTTGGTACCAACAATGTTTTAAAAAGTTCCTAAGTGAGAACTAAACCAAGAAGCATACAGGGAAACAGACCTGAGTATCCTGGAGGGCAGCAGAGGGGAGCATGGTTCCTGTCCATTCATAAAAGTTTTCTGTGTGCCATTAAAATGAATATATTCCTAACATCCAAGAAGCCGAGTTTATTAATAAAGGCAATTTCTTACTGAAAGTTCTATGCAGGAAAGTGACAAATATGCATATTCAGAGTGAGCGTCTCCATGGAAACCATAACTCAGCCTCCCTGCACACATATTTTACGGAGCATGTTTATGCAAAACGAATGAGATACGGTTTGGGTGGGAGCAATAACTTTGATTTCGCAGACTATGGTGTATGTTAAATGTCAGCCATAACTTTGCATTAATATATTTTGTGTTTCATTTATTATATTTTCAAAATAGGATGCCACATTCTCACAGAATGAAGGAGTCTACTGTTATGTTTTCTCACAAGAGGGCAATAAATTAAATTACTGCGGCTGCATCAAATGTGAGTTCTCTCTGGCTCAAATGTGTGTGGTGTTCGGATGTGGCGAGCACACACCCTATCTTCTCAGCAAAGGGTGGCAGACATCAACTGGACATTTGAGTTGAGAGGGGAATCATATTAGGGGGGGACTCTCCTTTCTCTCTTTTAACCTATTGAAACAAAATGAGATTGAATTCCAAACTGACACATAAACAGCAGAAAACAAAAAAAAACCAAGCTATGAAGTTCAGCCCACTAGGCAGAGGGGAAGCAGATGGGGGCTTTGCCTGTGGTCAGTGGGAAAGGCAAGGAAATAGGGGTGTCACTTCAAGCAAGGTTTTATCAGGAGTGGCACAATATTGTTACAAAAATTGGGTACCTGCCCCTCTCTCTGTCAAGCATTGGCAAGAGCCCATGAGGTTACATACAGGATCTGTGGTCCTTTGGAGAATTGAGACCAGGTGGAGACTGTTGTGGCTTTAAGGAATATGGTTTATTCATCATTCATCATTCATTGATGAATGAAAAAATGGATTTGACTGTTGTGGTTAATAACTGTGGACAAACAGGGAACATTGATATTCAGGGACCAACTCATGAATTAGTACTGACTGGGCAAGAACAGAAGATAATGGAGGAGGATGCGGTTGCACCTCAAATAATACAAATGGAGAGACCCAAGGCCCTACAGGAGTATAAGCCGCTGTTATTGAAGATTGAAGTTGGAATGGGCCAGGGGGAATCTGGTATTGAGGAGGTTCCTAACTTTGAAGAGACCTTGAAATATGTTTTTAAATATTTTTTGGATTTTATCGAGGACTGTGGGGAGTGGGACTTTGGGGAATGGGTGGGTTTGATGAAGGGAGATGGAGACAATTCTGGGTTGGAACCCCCCAGAGAACTACTCCTCAATAAGAAAGGAAAGGAATTAAGAAAGAGACCAACAAAAGACAAGGAAAAGGGCAAGTATAAACAACAAGAAGAAAAAATGCAGAAGGGACATGGAAGAGACTTAAGGGCCTCGGACATCAGGCTTCCAGGTTGATGGACTAGATGGATTGGACAGTAAGGACTGACACGATCCGAGACCAGGAAGATGAGACGTTGGATGAAGATTGGAAGAAAATTTATAAAGGAAACTTTTTATTTAGGGAATTGGCTAAAATTTAATGAATATTAGGGAAAATGTTGGAATGAAACTATATGACTCTAGCAGAAATGATATCAGGAGTTATGTATATTTGAAAACTAAGATTTAAGCTTTAAGGTATTTTAGGGTAAGATAAGGTTAAATAAATTAAGGCAACTTGAATAACAGAATATGGGGAAAGATGGTAAGGATTTGCTGAGCTAATTATAAAGGTAAACTGTCAAGATAAATTTTTTAACAAAAATTGAGAAAGATGGAAAGAATTTGCTGAAATAATTAATTAAACTAGAATACAAAAAGGGAGGTGTGAGGAGGTCAATGAATCAAGCAAATGGAAGTTATAGATATGCAATTTGGGATCTATGTTGTTTTCTTTTTTCTTGTGTTTTCCATTTTTCTTCTTATTTTTTTGCTGTATTGTTGTTTTCACTTTTTCTTTCTTTCTATGTATTACAGTGTTGTTTTTAATTTTTCTTTTTTCTTTATAACTTTGAAACTACTAATAAATATCTTTTTTTAAAAAAAAAAAAAGGAATATGGTTTATTCACCTTTTAAACCTTCAGTTTTGCATGAAGAGAGTCCAGATCTTACAGCATGCTCCTTTCAAGAGGGGCTGGTACTCCACAGCAGCACAGGCAGCCTTCAGCCAGCCTGCCCAGTATGGATCTCAGCTCTTCTTCCTCCTTCTTCCCAGCAACCCTTGCTTGAAAACTCCCTTTTCCTGTCTCCTCAGACACACCTTGGTAACATCTGATTCCCCAGGCAAAGGATTCCTCTCCAATGGCCAATCAACCCCTTTTGGCATTTAAAAAATAATAATTTTAATTAAGTTTTCAAATTACAAATCTCAAAATAAACATTTTACATAATACCATATATGACTTCCCTCCTTCTCCTTCCATGGTTGCCTATCATTCCTGCATATTTCCTGTGTATTTTACTGTATTCCTGCATATTTCACTGGATTTTACTGTAGCCATTTTAGTCAGTTCTCCCAATTGACATCATTCAAATATTAACCACACTGTTGAATTTATCTTAATGCTGCCAGCGCCATCAGCTGTACGCAGTTATTTTCCAAATACTCAGCAAAGATTTTCCACTCCCCTTTAAACAGATGCTCTCTTATTCTATATGTTGAACCTGCTAGTTCTGCAAATTCTGTCATCTTAAGTTGTCAGTCCTCCTTACTTGGGGCCTCCCTCATTTTCCATCTTTGGGCTAACAAAATTCGAGCTGTCATTGTTGCATACATAAATAACATTTTCCGACACCTGGGAACTTCAGTCCGAACTATTCCTAACAGAAAGGCCTACATTCTTTATGGAAACATTTAAACAACCGACACCTTTTGTCATATTAACAGGTTTGCTCTTCACTAAGCCAGCCAGGCTGGTTTGCATAAGCCAGTCCAGAAATTATCTGCCTATGCAATTGCTTATGTGGGAGCAGCACCAGCAATATCTCATGTTCTGAGGCAGGGACAAGGGTGCTTCAAAACAAGGCATTCTGGGCAATACAACTCAGGAAATTTCCTGTACTGCCACAGCCTTGCTGGAAACAGTAGAAATTATTATTATTTTTTAATAGTTAAAAGTTTCAATTCATTTTAGTAACTTTAAAATTTTAAACTATATTTGAAAGATAATTTCTAGCCATGGCAGCAAAGCTGCACTGGTGCAGGCAATTTCCTGGGCTACCATTACATGACACCTTTGTCTTTTCTGGATTCAGTTTCAATTTATTGGCCTACAACCAGCCCATCACTGCCTTCAGGCATCAGTCTCATACCCTCCAACATTTCTATGCTGAAAAATAGGGAAGTCCTATTCCTTAATAATACTAATAATGATATTAATATCCCGCACACCTGACTGGGATGCTCCAGCCACTCTGGGCAGCTTCCAACACATATAAAAACATAATAAAGCGTTCAACGTTGTTGTTTTTTTAAAAAAACCTTCCCTATACAGGCTGCCTTCAGATGTCTTCTAAAGTTTGTAATTTACTTCTCTCGTCGGCTCAGGAGTCACATAATTCCATACCCTCCAACACTGCTCCAATGAAAATAGGGACGTCCTAAGGAAAAGTGGGACATTCCGGGATCAAATCAGAAACCGGGACGGCTTCCCTAAATCAGGGACATTCCTGGAAAATAGGGACACTTGGAGGGTCTGTAACAGGTTACATCACTATCAAGAAAGTCTCCTATGAACATCTCAGTGATCTATGGAGTCTGCCCAACAGAAAGCAGAAAGCTTTGTGTGAACACAACCCCCCCCCAACTGAAAAACTATTATGATATTGATGTAAAATGTAGTCAAAGCTCATCTGTTAACCACACTTTGCTTCTTCCAAAATGCTTCATTTGCAATTCATGTAGGTTTTTGGATCCCCTTCATTGTCAAGTAATTTAATAAGCATGTTTGCATTTCCTTATGAATCTATTAACTGTTCTGCAATGTGTGCAGAAGCCTTCCTGGTAATATATGAAAATCACTGTGTATGCTGTTTAAAAATGGTGGCCTTCTGATAATGCAGTGTAAGCAGCTTTGCACATTACTCTCTATGCAGTGGCCCACACAGGAATGCTCTAAGATTATAAGCAGTTGACTGTTGACATTGGGATTTTTCAGAAGTTTTTATATAGATGATAGCTAGCATGTGCTTCAAATTTTAAATATGTAATTCAGTGTTGTTGTTTTTAATGTCAGAGCTAGACATCTGATTGCCAATTGAGGAGTGGAAGAAATCACAACATTTGTGGTTTATTTCGATCCTTTGGCATGAAATTGTGCAGAGGGAATATTTTCCTTTACAATCCGACAAATAAAAAGTAGCATTCAAGTTCCAGATCCCATCCTGTCAATGAGATAGAACAGCAGGCGGTCTCTGCATCTTCTGGCCTGTTTCTCCACTAGCCATCTTTCCCGTTCTTATCTGCTGAAGCAAGTCATGGCAACAGCAGCCATGAATGAAGATCAAGCAGTACTTAAATCAAGCAGAACCTGGTCAGTATTATAGTACCCCTTGTAGTGAAACACTTGACACTGAGAAGTGGAGGTCCCAGTGCAGGTTCAACCCATTTCTTCCTCTTGACATCATCAGGCAATTAATGCCTCAAATTCTGGACCTAAGTCTTTTGCTGGACTACTGCTAGACTTTGGGTCTTGCCTGTACAGTTCCTTGTCTAGTTCTAGGTATCTAAGTCTATCAGCTTGCCAGTTCTTTATCTGCCAGACTGTCTTCTCACAGTCTGACAACTTCCAAATCTCCCTGTCTCCCTGTCTGCCTGCCTTTCTGCCTGCTCCCAACCTTCATTCTTCTTAGAACGTCCTTCAGTTGGTTTTCTCACGGCTGGTCTGTGGTCTGTTACTGGTCTGTATCAGTAACAGACAGTGCTGAGTCACTGCTCAATCCAATGCTCCAGTGTCTTTATAGTGTGCCAGTTTCCCAACTACCTTTACACTCTCCCTCCAGGTAAAAGCAGCAGTGACTCAGCTGTCAGAAGGTCATGCTTTTTGACATCTATATGGAGCCGCTAGGAGAGATCATCAGGGTGTTTGGGCTGGGTGTTCATCAGTATGTGGATGATACCCAGCTCTACCTCTCTTTTAAATTAGAACCAGTGAAGGCTGTGTAAGTGTCTGGAGGTTCTGTTGGAGGATGGATGGTGGCTAACAGATTGAGGTTGAATCCTGACAAGACAGAAGTACTGTTTTGGGGGGACAGGGGATGGACTGGTGTGGAGGACTCTCTGGTCCTGAATGGGGTAACTGTGCCCCTGAAGCCTGAAGTCATTTTGGACTCACAGCTGTCCATTGAGGCACAGGTCAATTCTGTGTCCAGGGCAGCTGTCTACCAGCTCCATCTGGTACGTAGGCTGAGACCCTACCTGCTCGCAGACTGTCTTGCCAGAGTGGTGCATGCTTTGGTTATCTCCCGCTTGGACTACTGCAATGCGCTCTATGTGGGGCTACCTTTGAAGGTGACCCGGAAACCACAAATAATCCAGAATGCAGCAACTAGACTGGTGACTGGGCGTGGCCGCCGAGACCACGTAACACCGGTCTTGAAAGACCTACATTGGCTCCCAGTACGTTCCCAAGCACAATTTAAAGTGTTGGTGCTCGGCCCAGTATACCTGAAGGAGCGTCTGCACCCCCATTGTTCAGCCCGGACACTGAGGTCTAGTTCCGAGGGCCTTCTGGCAGTTCCCTCACTGTGAGAAGCGAAGTTACAAGGAACCAGGCAGAGGTTGTGGCTCCCATCCTGTGGAATGCCCTCCCATCAGGTGTCAAGGAAATAAACAACTATCTGACTTTTAGAAGACATCTGAAGGCAACCCTGTTTAGGGAAGTTTTAAATGTCTGATGTTTTATTGTATTTTTAATATTTTGTTGGAAGCCGCCCAGAGTGGCTGGGGAAACCCAGCCAGATGGGCAGGGTACAAATAATAATAATAATAATAATAATAATAATAATAATAATAATATAGTAAGTGCCACCACCCTACCACATCACCTGCTACTGCCTTGAACTGACCCATCTCCTGTGGGTCTGCTGCAGTGCTCCACCTACACCATCCTGCTTCTGCCTTTGAATGTTTAAAGCAACAGGCAGGATCTATGGTTTGCAATCTGACCTCCCTAATAAACTAAGCTGTCCCAGAGCAGTCCCACAAACCAGACTCCTTTACACTTCTAGACCCTCAGACTCAAGCGTAATACAAATATTGAACTGATTGCGCTTGCTGGGAATGATCTCAAGTAAAACACTGCAAGATTACTTGTGATTTTGTGGCACGGGTACACAAAATAAAGTCTAGAGAACAAGTCTCTGAAACTGCTTACATTGCATAATTACAAGGCAACCTTTATTAAAATAGCACACACAGTAATTTTGGGGAAAGCTTTGACTTCACTGAATGCAAATCACCACAGAACCCCATGTGGCTTGAGAACAGCTGACAGCTGAACTACTGATAACCCAGTCCTTACAAATTACTTTTCCATGCACATCTCTTATTTATGGTAGCAGACCCCATCTCTTCCTTGGTAAGGTTTGCATAAACTCTATGTAGACAGTTGAAAGTGTCTATTTAACTTCCAAGGTGAAAAACAACAACAGCATTTCATCACTTTATACCTTGTGCCCTTCAAAATTCTGTTTTTCTCAATCTAAACCCATGCTTTTATACTGTATTTTATGCTGCTTCTATGTTGTATTACAATTAAGTGTTTCAAATTTGTTGTTTTTTAAATTTAAATTAAGTGTTTTAAATTTGTTGTTAGCCACCCTGAGCCCGGTTTTCTGAACTGGGAAGAGCGGGGTATAAATGAAATTTATTATTGTTATTATTATTATTATTATTATTATTATTATTATTATTATTATTATTATTATTATTATTATTATTATAAACCACCAGCCATTCACTCTTTTCTCAATGGGTTGGCCTGTTCTGGTTATAAGAAAGCATACAGTTTTGTTGGTGCAGAATAAATGTTAAAAGATAAAACTACATTGTTGGGGGGGGGGCGGAGAGACATTATTTCAGTATACCTGAGGAAGCGTTTCCACTCCCACCGTTCAGCCTGGACATTAAGGTCCAACTCTGAGGGCCGTCTGGCAGTTCCCTCACTGTGAAAAGCGAAGTTACAGGGAACTAGGCAGAGGGCCTTCTCGGTAGTGGCACCTGCCCTGTGGAAGGCCCTCCCATCAGATGTCAAGGAAATAAACAACCATCTGACTTTTAGAAGACATCTGAAGGCAACCCTGTTTAGGGAAGTTTTTAATGTTTGATGTTTTATTGTGCTTTTAATATTCTGTTGGGAGCTACCCAGAGTGGCTGGGAGAACCCAGCCAGATGGGTGGGGTATAAATAATAAATCATTGTTGTTGATGATGATGTTGTTGTTGTTGTTATATAACCCTTGAATCAGGTCATGTTTTCACAGCCCATAAGCTTTCCTTCAACTCCCAACTCAGGGCTCACCCAGTCTTTTGCTTATTCCTGACCATTTCCCTATGTGGGAACTCAGTAATAGTGTCAAAAACAGTGATCTGCAAAATACCACAGATTGGCTGCAATCCAGAGGCTGATGCCCATGAGTCTGTCTTCCAGTTGGACATACAGTTATCACTAGAGGAAAACAGAAGGGTGTTTCTGTAATCAGCCTTCCCATTTCCCAAACCCTGTGACAATAGTCTGAATTCGGAGACACAAAACACTGTGGATATCCGTTCCAAATGTATGCTCATATGAGCATGGATGCTGTCACATTAGTAATAGCATTTGAGTTTAGCTGACTATGTTATAATGCGAAATGTAAGAGTGGAATAATTCATCGTGAAGATCATGGGGTTGTCACTGAAACTGGAAGCCTGCATCAAATTCTTCCTCCTGTCTCCTAATAATGTATCGTACTGGAAGCCTGTGACATGACAATATGATGTTGCTTCCCTCATGCCACTCCACATCACAGACTGCTATCACATCATGTGCTTCTATTATAAAAGGGAGGAGGGGAACTCAAGACAGGAATGATGCTTTTGGAGACACTGTTCTTTGTCACATCTAGTTCTACTATGTTCAACTCACAGCTTTATTTTTTCCTTATCTTCTCTCTATATTCCTTCATCCCTAGAAAATGGTCCTCTGCCACCACAAACCTGCATATATTTTAACAGTATCTTTCTCATTTGGCAACCTTTATTGGGGGCCATGTTCTTTTCTGCTCAACCTTTCTTGTACACATTTTCAGAGGCAGGCTGATAGTGTTAGCAGATTTAGATAATTAATGAATACTGAAACAACAACACAACAGCAATTTATTTATACCCTGCCCATCTGGCTGGGTATCCCCAGCCATTCTGGGCGGCTCCCAATGGAATATTAAAAACACGATAAAACATCAAACATTAAAAACTTCCCTAAACAGGGTTGCCTTTAGATGTCTTCCAAAACTCGGATAGTTATTTATTTTCTTGACATCTGATGGGAGGGTATTCCACAGGGTGGGTGCCACTACCGAGAAGGCCCTTTGCCTGGTTCCCTGTAATCTCACTTCTCGCAGTGAGGGAACCACCAGAAGGCCCTTGGAGCTGGACCTCAGTGCCTGGGCTGAATGATGGGGATGAAGACGCTCCTTCAGGTATACTGGGCTGAGGCCATTTAGGGCTTTAATGGTCAGCACCAACCCTTTGAATTGTGCTCAGAAACGTACAGTGTTTGCCTTTGTGGGCTTAATGTTCAGATTTTTATAGGAATATTTTCACAATTTTTGTTTGCACTGATTATATTGCTTAGAATGTATCAGCATCACCCATAATTAAAAGCATTGCTTGATTTTAAGTCCATGGGCATCAAGGAGTCAGGCAACGAATAAACAAACTAAACACGAGCTGGTGGGTACAGAACTTCCCATTCACATAATAAATGCAGCAGTAGCAATATTGAGAGTGAGTCCATGTCATTCCAACATCATTAATTGTTTATTGGATCATAGAAAGGAGCTACTGGAAAGATTTAGATATACAGCAGAAGCACATGTGTATTATTGATTTACTTTATGGAGCAGTAGTAACAATATGAAACAGAACACTAGGGAGACAAATAGACGATGAATCAACTGGTATATGAATAGGACTGCAGAAAACTGTTATGAGCCACAAGCAAACAATGAAAATGAGTAAGCCTTGAAAGGTCCATGCAAGGTTGCTTCGAGCCATATAATATGCAAACTCAAAATAATAACCATAAGGCAGCATTTGAACACATTCAGGTACTGGCATGCCAACTTGAATAAAATATTGTGGGGGGACCAGGTAAGCCCCACCCCACATAATTGAGAACATGATGCAGTGTGCACATACACACCATTTGAATGGGAATGCCCATCAACTTTGTGGGGGCCTGGCCCTCTCAAATATTTTATTGTGGGGGCCAAAGCCCCCATGGTGCCTAGGAGTTGGTTCCTATACTCAGGGATCTGTGTTTATCTTATGAACCGCCCTGAGATCTCCAGATGAAGGGCAGTATATAAATTTAATGAAATATAAATATATAAAATATAAATACACACCTATTTGCAAATGCTCAAAACACTTCATACACATTAGCTTAGTAATCATTACAACATCTCTATAAGATAGACAAATATTTATATCCCCATATACAGTGGTACCTCGGGTTACATACGCTTCAGGTTACATACATTTCAGGTTACAGACTCCGCTAACCCAGAAATAGTACCTCGGGTTAAGAACTTTGCTTCAGGATGAGAACAGAAATCGTGCTCCGGCGGCGCAGCAGCTGCAGAAGGCCCCATTAGCTAAAGTGGTGCTTCAGGTTAAGAACAGTTTCAGGTTAAGAACGGACCTCCAGAATGAATTAAGTACTTAACCCGAGCTACCACTGTATATACCAGGCAGAATGAAGACAGTAGCAATTTGCGTGTTCAAACCCAGAGACCTCCCCCCTAAATAAAGACACACTTGACTCAAATTTTAGTCTTGGCTTTTGGCAGAATTTAGGCCACAACTTTATTGATTACAGAAGGTGAGTGGTTGCATAGGCTCTGGTTTGACTAGCTCCCTGCACCCTTGCAGGCAGCGCTGACCCAGGGCACCAGCATAGGTCAGCCAAGGGTGAACACCTGGGTAGATGAAAAGCCAGGTACAGACTCTGTTCACCACCCAGATGCCCCCCTGGACTCAGGCATGGTCACAATCCCCTCTCAGGGGTTGACCAAACCACTTGAGTCCCTGGATTCCTTTAACAGAATACCCTTCACATAGGGATGGCGAGACCATTCTCCCATCCCTATCACCTGAAACAGTGCCTATCCGCAACCTTACAAGTTGTGACGATTAGCTACGTGGCAGGTGAAACCCAAATGGCACCAGCCAATCAGCCAAGTGGGGAAAATTCCTGCCTTGCCCCTGTCCCAACGACAGACAACACATGACAGCATAGCAAGGTCAATCGCAAAATGCCCTAAAATTAGGGAGAGGTGGGTGGGTGTTCCGAATGCACACACCAAAAGAGGAAGCTCTGGGTCACGTGCATGGGTATAAATAGGTCCCTTGATCCATTTGGACTGCGCCCCTTTGGCCAGATTGAACCCAACATTGAGGGACCTCCCAATCGGGAGTTGTGGCTGTCCAATCTTACCCACCCAGAACACAGGACACGATTTGCCTAATATCTCTGAAAGTTTGTGCTTTTAAGCTGTTACACTGCAGATACAGACAAGTGAACCGTGATCATGGGCAGAACTTTCACCACAGATTACAGACCAAAACTTTCCTCTTCTCTCCTCTCAGATCACACCAAAAGCTTCCCAAAGATACATGGGGTCAAATTTTAGCTAGTGGGTCTACAGCGGGGGCCGATCACACACTCAGCTGAGTCAAAGGCCTGGCTTGAACTTGTGTGTACAATGCTTGGCAGTGCAAGCTTGTACTTGTTTACTTGGAAGTAGCTCCCCCTGTGCTTAGTGGGGCTTACTCGCCTAAGACAGAGCGAACAATTAGGGTTCCTTTCTGGTGTGGAAGAATCTGCAGTATGTGCTTTCCTCCAGTTTTCCTGGATCTGCACCCCTGCTCCCACATTCTCTTTTTTAAAAATGGTGTTACACTGAGCACTTTCCAGTCCTCAGGCATGAAGGTTGATCTGAGGGACAAGTTACCTATTTTTGTTTGCAGTTTTCCATTTGAAAGCAGTGTGCCACCCAGAGCCAAGGTTTTGTCTGTTTTTGTTTATCAATAAGCCCTAGACCAGGCATCCCCAACCTGCTGCCCTCCAGATGTTTTGGCCTACAACTCCCATGATCCCTAGCTAACAGGAATAGTGGTCAGGGATGATGGGAATTGTAGTTCAAAACATCTAGAGGGCCGAAGGTTGGGGATGCCTGCCCTAGATCTTCATACGTTGTCAAGATTTGCTTCAGTTTCTCCAACTTCCTTCCTGCAAAAGTTAGTTCAGGTAGGAGGAACCAGAAGTGGCTTTGAGGCAGCACAACTGGTTCCCTCTGCCCCCCCCCCGTTGCAAGGACCAAAAGAGTGCCCACCTCATTCCCAAAGCCTTGTAAGCGCTGGGCTTTGGGAAGGAGACATGAGGGCTCTACCAGGGTCCTAGAGTCTTCCCTTTTCCTTTCCTTGCCTTGTTAGTGGTCTCCCAGCTTTAGGAAAGAGGAGGAGAGCTTTAGGACCCTGGCAGAGTCTCGTGCCTCCTTCCCAAAGCCCAGCACCTCCCCTTTCAGGCCTTGGAAAGGTGGCACAATGGGAATGTTATGTACTGAGTTGAATAGGATCCAAACTGCAGCAGTCTGATTGGTCCTAGAACAATAGGATCCAAAATGCAGCAGTCTGATTGGTCCTAGAACAATAGGATTCAGAATGTAGCAGTCTGATTGGTCCTAGAACAATGCAGCAGTATGATTGGTTGGCAGGAACCACCCAATCCTGCTCCAGATAGAAGTGAATCCACAACCTGATTGGCTTACAGTAGAATTCCGGAATTAGCCAATCATGTGCAGCCCATTGCGTAAATAATGTATATAAAGCAGATACTGTGAGGGGACTTCCATTCATTCCTCCTCACCACTTACAGTAGAATTCGGAATTAGCCAATCATGTGCAGCCCATTGTGTAAATAATGTATATAAAGCAGATACTGTGAGGGGACTTCCATTCATTCCTCCTCACCACTATGAGCTGAATAAAGAGCCTGAAATCACTTTGCGACTCTGAGTATATTTCAGGGAATGTGTGTCAAATTGTGGCTTTGCACAGGCAGCCATATTCCCAAGGTCTATGCCTGAAGGAACAGCCCTATGTATTCTATTGTGAAGACCCTGCAAATTATTTGTTCAGCTTCTCTGAAATCTCCTTCTCCTTTAGTGCACCTTTGCCTCCCTGGTCATCCAAAGGTCCAATCACCTCCCAAGTTGGTTTCCTGCTGCTATTGTATTTAAATGTTTTTGTTCAGGATGGTATTTATATTTTTAGAAAAGTGCTTTTCAAACTCCTTTTTAGCTTCCCTTATTGTCTGCTTGCACTTCTCTTGCGAATGTTGTGTTCCTTTTGGAATCTGCTCCAAGCAGCATTACGCTGGGAAACGCAAGAAAATACAGAGAGAGAATAATCTTTGGAACACCTTATAAGTACACTGGCCTCATACTGTAGATCTGTGGACCAAACTGCAGACCTGCTTTCCATCCTGATTACTGGTTCTGCAGGATGAATGAGGAAGAGGGAGGCTTCACTGCAAAATCTGGCCTGAATAAAAAATTCTTTGCCACCCCTGTTGCCGAAACGGAATTTTAGCCATCATACTTGACCACCTTTCTCAGCAAAAGGATTTAACAGTTTCCCCATTATAGCTGAGGTTAATGACCTTACTGCTTGGTTGTGTGAAACCATTATCCTAAATAACCCGCTGTCATTTATTCTTATCACACCCTAGTCCTTGTTAGGTGATGAGCTAGCAAAAGAAGTATTATCCCTGATAGCAGAGCAGTGATAATGACTCCATGAAAACAAGTAATATTGAGGTTGCTGATTATTATTATGTGGGGGCTCTATAGGCCCTATCGCATAAATTGATTATGCACATTATCCCATAGAAGTCTCATTTCAATCATCATACTCCACACAACTAGTACTCAATGTCTATGCAACTTTTAAACTGCACTGAGTCAGCAACTTGCGCTCAGTTTACTTACGCAAAGCGTGTTCTCCTTCATGGAGAGCACGTGTTGCGGTGGGGTCTGCTGAGCCACCCCTCTGTTACCAGGCAGGGTCTCTAAAGATGGCCTGGGGCAGTGATTGGTTCACTGGGTTGCTGGGGTAAAAGTTATGTTGCAATTTTGGTGGGAGGGGTAAAATGTTTAAATACTCTGCACGCAGCCTGGAGCTTTCTCTTTGCTGCGTGCAACGGATCACCTGGAGCACTTGGACCGTCTGGAGGACAGTGGAGCGATCTTCTCATTGTCTGGTTACATTTCTTTATTTTCCCCTTCTTTTAATCTTCTCTAGTCCCTTAATTAATTTAATTCCCCCTTTTTTCTTTCTGTTTGATTTCCCACCCCACCCCTTACCCTGCCCTTTGGGAAGATTCTCCCTGTACCTGTGAGCGCTGCCTGTGCATAATCCTCCTGGGCTTGCCTTTCCCAATAGGGAGAGAGCCCCCATTAGGGGCTTTCTTTTGCAAAAAGGTTTCCCCATTTTCGCCTGTTTAATTGTCGGGCTAGCCAGGGCTGCTCCCAGCTTACCTGGAATCACTTTCATTTATAGTATCCCCATAGGTTGGCTTTATTTTGGGTGCATGCAGTGCTGTTGGCCGAGTTTTAATCTAGCCTTGGGCGGGCACACTATTGAGTTCCTTTAATATTGCAATGAGACAAAAAAGGCAGAGAGCAGAAGCAGGGAGGCCATCACGGCCTGCACGGCCTGCACATATCATTCAAGCCTAAGCCTGCTACAGTTAGCAGTACAGTGAATTCCCAGCTTACCTGGAATCACTTTCGTTTATAGTATCCTCATAGGTTGGCTTTATTTTGGGTGATTGCAGTGCTGTTGGCCGAGTTTTAATTTAGCCTTGGGCGGGAGCACTATTTTGAGTTCCTTTAATATTGCAATGAGACAAAAAAGCAGAGAGCTGAAGCAGGGAGGCCATCACGGCCTGCACGGCCTGCACATATCATTCAAGCCTAAGCCTGCTACAGTTAGCAGTACAGTGAATTGTTAAGTTTCTGTAACATGTGACTCATTCTCTCTATAAGAATGTATCTGTTGTTTGCAGGCTCACTTGTTGCTAATGTATAGCTTAGGCAGACAGAGTGGAGCCAGAGGCTCTCTGTGCCTCCAATGAGCACTCTTTGTATGCTCTTTAACTATGCTGTTTCTGAACAAGTTTATTTTCTTCAAGTTTGTTTTTCCCTGATAGTGGCGACTGCCATTTTAGAAACGAGCCATTGTGGCTTAGTGGCTAGAGTACAGGACTAGGACCTGGGAGACAGGGTTCATATCCCTCACTTAGCCATTGTTATAACAAGGCAAAACAAGCTGCTCCTTTTGGACTATTTTGTTGCTGGGTAGTTTGGCCCATTTGTGATATTGCTCCCAAAAAGAACTTTGGGTTTCTTGAGGAGGTGCTTCCCTCTAAAGGGCAAGCAGGGGTACCTGGACATGCGGTGGGCTGCCTCGAGTTTGTTATCTCATTGGAAACATTTATGTCTGGCCTAGCAGGTGATCCTAGGGCTTGGCCCGCTTGGCCCTAGAATTTGATGGCCTCTGGCAGCGTTTCTGGCCTGAATAGCGTCCCCATGTGGTGCACAAAGCATTGGTTTCACCTGTTCCTCACATTGTTTAGGTTTTTTCTTTTCGCAGACTATGACAGGGCCTTTGCAGATGCCTCCAGAGCTTGCCTCTCCTGCAGAGGATGACTTGTTGATGCCCCAGGTGCCTTCTTCAGGAAGGAGGCGTCTTCAGAGGCAGGAAAAAGCATAGCAGGGATGATGCTTACACCTCCTTGCAGGTAAATCATCACTGGGCTCTGATGATGATTCAGACATCACCTTGGACCTCTCCAGGGGTCAGGGTGAGGCTGTTCCAGGTCTTTAGGGAGCATCCTGGATAGCTCAGCTGGTCAGCGTATGGTGCCGGTAATGCCTAGGTTGCAGGATTGGTCCCTGTATGGGACAGCTGCATGCTCCCTCATCACTTTACCCGGACACTGAGGTCCAGTGCCGAGGGCCTTTCTGGTGGTTCCCTCACTGTGAGAAGCCAAGTTACAGGGAACCAGGTGGAGGGCTTTCTCGGAAGTGGCACCTGCCCTGTGGTACACCCTCCCACCAGATGTCTACTACCAGACTTTTAGAAGACATCTAAGGCAGCCCTGTTTAGGGAAGCTTTTAATGTTTGATGCATTACTGTATTTTAATATTTTGTTGGAAGCTGCCCAGAGTGGCTGGGGAAGCCCAGCCAGATGGGCGGGGTACAAATAGATGATGATGATGATGATTATGATGATGATGATATTGTGGGAGAGTGGACTAGATGATCCTAGGAGTCCCTTCCAACCCCACTATTCTATAAGTGGTAATTCACTATGATGGGAATGTTAGACGCAGGGCTGCCATCATCCCCTTAGCTCGCTAGGATCGCAGGGACGGGGACATGTGGACCACTTGCGCAGCTCCACATTTCAAATGGAAATTCCCTGAGCAATAGAACCTGAAGCTGGTATGCAGGAAGCTGGCCCGGTGGCAGCTTTGTTGGGACTTCTTTAGGGTCTCTGGCCAGTGTTGGCCCTGTAAATTTACACATCATGGTGGCAACACAAGGCAGGGCTTCTTGCCCAAGCGGGGCTGGCAAGCAATAACTCAATACCTCTCGCCCATATTTCCATAAAAATATCTCCCTTTAAAGCCTGGCTAAAAGGTTATCTAGATGCGTCAGTAGCTTTGTGCTTGTGGGAAGGGTTTTTCTCCAAGGTTTCGGGATTCCTCTGGCTTTTCAGCCAGTGGCTCAGAATACAGCAACTCAAAAGTCAGTTAGAGTCTGTGGTAGCCAGAAAGTCTGTGGTAGCCAGAAAGAAGGTTAGGAAGCAGCTTGCATTGGGACGTATGGTGGGATCCCCTTGATTCTCCTTCTAGTCCCGATTTTCATTTATCCCCATTGGGGATCGTCCCTAAGAAAGCCCCATATAATTCCATCTGATCCATATTTATCGCACCCCAAAGGCACCTCAGTGAATGATGCTATCCCTCCGGAATTGTTCCGTGAAATATGCATCTTTGGATCAGGCAGTTGAGCTTACCAACAAATTGGAGGAGGTGCCTTGTTGGCATTATGCGATATTGAATCGGCTGTTAGGCTGCTGCCGGTTCACCCTCAAGATTTTAAGTAGTTAGGCTTTAATTGGATGGTCCTTATATGGATAAGGCGATGCCAGTTGGTTGCTCAATAGGCTGTGCAGCACTTGAGTCCTTTAGCGCCTTTCTGGATTGAACATTGCGAGTCAAGACTCGTTTAACTGGGGGTATCGTTATGTGGATTATTTTACTGGCTGGTTCATGTGACACCAGCCTCTGCTTAGCTTACTAGATGCCCCTTTATTCCCTGAGGAGCTGGGTGTTCTGTTGGCAGTGGAGGACAGTGGCTCCTACTGCCCCTTTTAATGTATTTGGGGGCTAGCTGGATACCGTTGCTCAAACATCTGCTTGCCTGTGGAAAAGCTGTTTGCCTTGAAGGATGTTATTCTTGTAATACTTCCTCTGAAGCAAGTGTTGCTTTGTCAGATCCTATCATTCCTAGGTCAGTTAAATTTTGCATGCAGGGTGGTTGCTCCAGGCTGCCCCTTCCATTCCTGCTTGGCCAGGTGGTCTCATGGCCCGGTGTCCCTTCATCATCATGTACAGTGGCCTTGAGCCTGGCAGGGCAAGGCAATCACATGTAACCTAACTTTCTTGAGTTTTCCTCATTGTAGTGTCAGCGCACATCTGGACTGAGGAGTTTAGGGACCGTCAGGTCTGTCTTGGTCTGATAACCAGGCAGTGTGAGAGTCCTGGCAAAACGGTCTTCATGCTCTGGCAGAGTCTTCGCACTGCTTAAGGTTTAATATTGCGTTTCTGCTCACTTTATTTCGGGATCATCTAATGTTTTTGCTGTGGCTCTATCCCGTTTTTTCAGTTGGAGAGCTTCAGATCCTGGGCTCTGGACACCCAGCTATTTTTCTGGAGCTCCTGTGGCACTTGGCGACAATTAATAATTATGAGGAATAGTAGCTTACGTTTCCCCATCCGCTTTCAGGTCTTATGAGAAGGCCTGGACTGATTTCTTAAAATTTAGCTGGTAGTCCTCGGCCATTCAGAGGAACCTGCCCCCATCCTCTGAGCAGGACCTGCAGTAATTCGCCCACCTGCTGCAGATAGGATGCAGTGTTAAAACTATCAGAATTCAGTCCGCTGCAATGTCTGCTAGAGTAAAGCTTTAATTTTCAGAGACCCTTCTAAAAGTGTGTCATGCGCAGGGTCTCGGAAGGTTGGAATAGGCTCTGACCTTCACAGGACAGCAGGCAGGAAGCCGGTCAATCTTTGACCTATGCAGTATCTGCAACAAGTTGAGACTTGTTGGCTGGTTCAAGATCAAGACGAGACTTATTTCAGTATTCCATTGTAATTTTGGTGTACTGAGGGTTGGGGAAATTGTGTTGGAGCCAGCACGGGGCTGAGAGTTTGGAGGCTTATTGCCTCAGGACTTTTCCTTATCTGCTTTGGAGCTTGTCATAAGTGTCTGGAGCTCTAAGTCAGACCTAGTGAGCAGGGTTGCCACCATCAGGCTTCCAGTCACAGGTGAGGTGGGCCCTTGCCCTGTTATTGGATACCGGAAATATTTGGCTTTTCGTTCCCCTGAGGGCTGGCTCGATCCTAGTGCACAGAAATGGGTTCCGGTTCGACAGGCATCTAATTGCTCACGTCGTGCGCCAGTTATTGCAGCCTGCGGCTTGCCTACCGCTGAACACGCCTCATTCCTTCCAAATAGGTGCTGCTGCAAAGGCTGCGCATTGGGGCCTGTTAGTAGACAGGATTGTGAATACGGGTCATTGGAAGTCTGACGCTGACAAAGGTTATGTCAGGAAGCATCGCCAATGATGCCTGTGCTGATGCCTGTCTGTTATTCCAATTGTCATAGGAGCAGCTGTGCGCATTTGGATTGTCGGCCACAGCATCATGCACTGAGCTGGCAAGCACCCTGACGAGTCTGGACTGGGGGCGCCATCTCGGCCTTCCTGCCCATGTTTCTAGCTCCAGTCCGCATCTGGATTGTGGGGCACAGCATCGTTTACTGGGCTGGCATCAGAGCTAGGCAGTCTGGAAGGGGACTGGGTCTTGGCCTCCCGCAGCATGTGCAGGTGTTGTGGATGTCCAGGCGCAGAATGCAGTGGAGCGAATTCATCCCGCTAATTAAGCAGAGGGTGCTTCGGATGGCCCCCCCCCATGGCAATTGTGGTTCAGCTGGGGGGGAACGATGTGGCAACTTATGATTGCTTTACTTTGCGCTCCACGATTCAGAGAGACTTGTGTGAATTGGTGACCTTAATACCCACAGTTAAAATATTTTGGTCACAATTGCTGCAAAGGCGCAATTGGCACGGCATTTCTCGACCTGAGGCTGCTGAAAGGGCCAGGAAGCGCATTAATTCTGCAGTGTGTAAGAAGGTGGCGGATTTGGGTGGATTGGTTATTTCCCGCCCGGATATTACCTTCAAGGCTCTGGCCCTTTACCGCAATGATGGAGTACATCTCTCTGTACTGGGGAATGATGTTTGGTTGGATGCGGTAACTGCAAGGTTGAAGGTTGGGTTGGGATTGTGAGTGGTTGGCGGCGAGCGTAAAGGGCTCGATTGGCGGTTAGGCATTGGTTATAAATTGGTGGAGGAGGGGTTAGGATAGGCTGGGCCTGCCCCTCCATGGTTGCTGCGGAAAGGGAATTCCGTTAAAGGAATCCTGGGGCTTGCCATCTTTTCGTCCAATCCCTGGAATGGGACTAGGGCCGGCAAGCCTTCGGGAGCATGCGGATGAGAATTGAGGGTCTGTGACCCAGCTCCATTTCTCTCCGACTTGCTTTCCCCGCACTGTCTTTCGGTGGTGCCCGGAAGTCAGTTCTGTCCCCAGGCGGGGGACAGATAGTCTTAACCAATGCCTAAACAACCACTCACGGTTTTGTATTTAAATAAAGTTGTGGCCAAAATTATGCCAAAAACCTTAAACAAAAATTAAGTGTGCGTTGTGAGTTATTTGGGGGGTGGCTTGGGGACCTCGACACGCAAAGCGTGTTCTCCTTCATGGAGAGCACGTGTTGCGGTGGGGTCTGCTGAGCCACCCCTCTGTTACCAGGCAGGGTCTCTAAAGATGGCCTGGGGCAGTGATTGGTTCACTGGGTTGCTGGGGTAAAAGTTATGTTGCAATTTTGGTGGGAGGGGTAAAATGTTTAAATACTCTGCATGCAGCCTGGAGCTTTCTCTTTGCTGCGTGCAACGGATCACCCGCCCACCCGCCCTTGAGTAAGGGGTTGTTGCATTGCCCTTGCTATGCCTGTCATGGGGTCGTCTGCCGTTGGGGCAGGGGCCTGGTAGGAATTTTGTCCATCTGGCTGATTGGCTGGGCCATTTGGTTTTTGCCTACTGCGTAGCAAATCGTCACAACTTGTAAGGTTGTGGTTAGGCATTGGTTATAAATTGGTGGAGGAGGGGTTAGGATAGGCTGGGCCTGCCCCTCCATGGTTGCTGCGGAAAGGGAATTCCGTTAAAGGAATCCTGGGGCTTGCCATCTTTTCGTCCAATCCCTGGAATGGGACTAGGGCCGGCAAGCCTTCGGGGAGCATGCGGATGAGAATTGAGGGTCTGTGACCCAGCTCCATTTCTCTCCGACTTGCTTTCCCCGCACTGTCTTTCGGTGGTGCCCGGAAGTCAGTTCTGTCCCCAGGCGGGGGACAGATAGTCTTAACCAATGCCTAAACAACCACTCACGGTTTTGTATTTAAATAAAGTTGTGGCCAAAATTATGCCAAAAACCTTAAACAAAAATTAAGTGTGCGTTGTGAGTTATTTGGGGGGTGGCTTGGGGACCTCGACACGCAAATTGCAACCTTACGCAGTTGTGGGGAATAAAAAGCACTCTCTCACACACACAATTGTGTGAATTGGCTCAAGTGATAAGCAACAGGCTTAAATGTGTCTTCACTCTGTGTTGGATTGTATCTTTTAGGCATGCTTGCAAAACAGTTTCCTGGAGAGGCAAACCGTTCTTGGAGGATCGGAACCCCCAAGCCTCAAACCCTTTCCAATTCTGCTTTTAGGAAGCTCTTCTGTTCTAGCAAGTGCCTAAATGAATAGACATTATCTTCTCGAATGTATAGTCAGGGCTACGTGTTTTAACATGGGCGTTCATGCTATCAAGTGTTTCCATTACTGTAGTGCATAGCAATCTTTGCGATTCTACTTTGTATTGTGAAGAATACTGATGCATATGCAGTTCACCCCGTCTCTTCCCCTTAACTGTATGCATGCTGAGGTTTACCTGCGTTTCTGCCCTCCCCCCTGCCTTTTTAGCCCCTTAAAATTCATGAGAACACCTTGCGGGAACAATATGACTAAAACGGGGTCAGCAGGATTCTATTGCATCTTGTTCATCTCCAGCAGGATTGTGAAGCCTGTTCCAATCAGCTCTTAACAGCCTTTGTGAGCAAAGCCTTCTGCCAGCTGACACCCACATTATAAAGTGAATGAGATTCACAATGGGGAATCAATCGCAGAATCAAACCCTTACTTATCTCACCATCGCTGGGTGAACAGCATGGAGACTGGTGGATGTATGACAAACCGAGGTAATGACTTCCTTCCAGGGGGGAAGAAACCTCTCTAGCATTGTCTGGGAGTTCAGTGATGGTGAGGCCCCCCCAACTCCCTAATGATTAACAGTTGAATTCATAGATTACTTTGAGATAGCACAGCACACTTTCCCAAATTAGCATTTCACATATTACAGATCTGGCAGGAAAACAGATGAATATATTCCCCATAACGCAGGGGTGGGGAAACTTTGGCCTTTGAGATATTGCCGAAATACAAATCTCATCACCCCAAGGGATGGTAATTTAGCAACATCTGGAAGGCTCATGGGTCTCCACACCTCACATAACAAGTCAAAAGGGCCACTCAGGACCATTTCTCTCCCACTGGCTCAATCCTTGAGAATAGCAAGCACACACAGCTCTTCCCTGCTCACCTGAGAGCCAGTGTGGTGTAGTGGTTAAGAGCGGTAGTCTCGTAATCTGGGGAACCGGGTTCGCGTCTCCGCTCCTCCACATGCAGCTGCTGGGTGACCTTGGGCCAGTCACACTTCTTTGAAGTCTCTCAGAACCACTCACCTCACAGAGTGTTTGTTGTGGGGGAGGAAGGGAAAGGAGAATGTTAGCCGCTTTGAGACTCCTGAAGGGGAGTGAAAGGTGGGTTATCAAATCCAAACTCTTCTTCTTCTTCTTCTTCTGGTCACCATTTCCAGTGGGACAGTTCAGTCACCACCTAAAGATAAAAGTAAAGGGACCCCTGACCATTCAGTCCAGTCATGACCGACTCTGGGATTGCAGCATTGTGGCGTTTGCCTCCTAGGTGGGTCATAAGGAAAGGGTTAAATGAGTGTGATGTGATTGGCCAATGGGAATGCAAGGGAGGAGTAAAAGTTAGAGTGGGAAGTTTTGAAAGTCAGTTGAGGTTTGGGAGTTGGAGAAGAAAGAGGAGTAATAGGCAGTGGGTGGGTCAAGTTGTATTGGGAGAGAGTGAGAGGAATTGGTAGGGTGAGTCGGATAGATAGTTAGGGATAATCAGTTTGAAGTTGTTAGGAACTAAGATTAAGAAACTGCCAAGAAAAATTAACTGAAACCATAAGCTTCTTCCTTCATTTAAAAAGAAACTTGATTATTTGTTAATGTTAACAACTGACTGGACTCCATGTGTCCCCGTGAGATATGGGGTGGTGGCAGCGGAGATCGAATCGCAGCGGTGGCACAGGGTCAATAGACCGTCAAACGTCTGGGGGCCCTGTGTGATCGCCACAGCGTTCATCTCGCTTTATTGGCCGAGGGACCTGGTGTATAGCTTCCGGGTCATGTGGCCAGCATGACTAAGCCGCTTCTGGCGAACCAGAGCAGCGCACGGAAACGCCGTTTACCTTCCTGCCGGAGCGGTACCTATTTATCTACTTGCACTTTGATGTGCTTTCGAACTGCTAGGTTGGCAGGAGCTGGAACCGAACAACGGGAGCTCACCCCATTGTGGGGATTCGAACTGCTGACCTTCTGATCGTCAAGTCCTAGGCTCTGTGGTTTAACCCACAGCGCCACCCGTGTCCCGTCAGTCACCACCTACATGCCTACAAATTGCAGGGTTGATTTCAAAATGGTACTGATTTCCTGCCTAAATCAGGAAATCAGCTGTGATATTTGTGCGCATACACTGAGTGAACAGGAGGGACTGATGGAGAGAGTATATGGATCTACGGATTTCAGTTCTCTTGGTTTCTCATTTTGCCAATCTTACATTCAGTTCTCCACATTTATGCAGCAATTTGCGCTTAAAAACAACTCGGGAAAAGTCATCACCATTTTATTGCACTTTTTTTCCTAACACCAGAAGTTCACTACAGGAGAATGCTTGCCTAAACAGCCTTATCTTCAGGCCAGTAGAATGCCAATGCTGATGAGGATTCTTGTATTCAGCAGGGAGGTGTACTAAAGGAGATTTCTCCATTCAGTCAGAACCCCTGCATGACTGGAGTTCCTGACCATATGGAGGACCATTCTCAAAGACAGCCAATTGCCTCTTCAGGATTTAGCTCAATGGGCAGAGGTCAGCAGCTAGAGCCAAGGCAATGGGTTCAATGCCCTTCTTCCCTTTCAAGCTGTGGAGCATCATACAAGTAATTCTATGTGATGTGTAGAACTGCTCTGAGCTATATCAAACTAAAAGTGCTGTGGGCTCCGGCCAGTCGCTTAATCGTAACCGCTTCTCAAACTGTATAGCTGTTTCATTAATCAGACATTTCTAAAATAAAATTGTTCTTTTCCCTTTCTCTCTCTCTTCTTGTCTCCTAAATGGCAGTCTTTCTCCCTCTGTCCCCCACTTTAAAAGACAACAGTGAAGTTACCATATTCCACCCCAGATACACAGATGTACTTTATTTTCAAAATGCTTGCTAAACCCTTCAAGAAGACCTTCATATTGAGGCATAGGGTGCCATCTAGTGGAAATAGGATACTTAACCAAAGTGTTTCAAACACCATCTAGAATTAAACTGCAGATCACCTTTACGTTATTTTTATATGTTTCCCACAGATTGCCCCACTCTCTCCATGCCACAGGAGCAAGCTCATTCATGAGAGCACCTTCAGACATTTCTACTTAAGTAAGCTAATGATTCTATCAAATGCAGCAATCATGTGCACCACAGCTGCCTGTATTGCATTGACGTCTGAAGCAAGTCTGTTAGTAAACTGACTGTTATTATTATTACTAGGAATTGTGCACAAGTGAGCAAACATGAATACAGTGGTACCTCGGGTTACATACACTTCAGGTTACATACGCTTCAGGTTACAGACTCCGCTAACCCAGAAATAGTACCTCGGGTTAAGAACTTTGTTTCAGGATGAGAACAGAAATCGTGCTCCGGCGGCGCGGCGGCAGCAGGAGGCCCCATTAGCTAAAGTGGTGCTTCAGGTTAAGAACAGTTTCAGGTTAAGAACGGACCTCCAGAACGAATTAAGTTCCTAACCCGAGGTACCACTGTATGAATATGAAAATAAGTAGACAGATCCAGAACAGGTATAGTTAACTGAGGATTCCCTATACATGTTGTTGAACTACAACTCCCATCAGCTACAGCCGGAATAGCCAACAGCCAGGGATTATGGAAACCATAGTTCAGTATCATCTAGAGCAGGGGTTGGCAAAAAAAATTAG